CGCCAGCACCCTTTTTGGCGATCAGGTGCTTAATGCGGCTAGAAAAGATGGCGCCAGAAACTTATCGAAAAGCCGCACAGATTATTCAGAAAGATTTTTATGTATGATTTAATGACTAGCTCCGGATGCGTTGAGGACCTGCAAGGCCTTCGAGACGAAGTTTTTTAGGTTTTACAAGAGGCAGTATTTGAACTGGCAAAGTGATTTTCAAACTGCCCAGAGTTATCCGCATCGGATAGCGCTGCAATGCCACTTACGGCAGGCTCATACGTAACTAAGACTCTTAGCGTGGTTTGGTTACCGGTTAAAAATTACTTCCAATTTTGGTTGGATGACTCTTTCCTGCATCTTCGCAAATAAAGTCGTCGATCTTTCCAATCCAAGTTCCCGTTTTTCTTAATACAAAAGAGTATTACTTTTATAGTGGCTTTACTTATTCAACTTTTCATAATTACATATTTCTTTAATTTTTATATTTGTATTCTTTGAAAATATTAAATCGTACCATTTTCCTATATTTTTCTTAGGAATATTTAATTTTTCCCTTTTGGGATTTTTGTTTTCCACCATTAGCCCACACTTGCGCTTTACTATGCGCTTTAGACCTTTTTCATTAGCTGGACTTTGCCAACTGCTCGGGCGCCAGTTAATATCTGTCTCCTTGCACAATTACTTTAACTTAATATTATTGAGTAATTAGGTGACAATTCATTGACTGATATATTTCATGGATCCAGATTTAAGCCTTTGATTTGAAGTTGTGAATAAATTAAAGTTACAAATTTGTATCCTGTCTTTAAAGATGTGAGTGGGGAGGTAGTCAGCAAAGGAAGGGAAAGGAGAAAAAAACCGGGAATAGTTGGTCATCAGTCTGTGACCAAAGGGGAGAGTGGGAACCTAACATTTCAGACACCAAATGTAAACCCTAACCACATGAACAGTCCCACGATCCGAAACTTATTGTAAAAATTTTCTTCTTCATAAAACCTGCTAGAACCAACGGAAATACAAAGCACCAATAAAGCAAACATTTCATTCTTGTTTCCAACAGCCCAAAACTACTGACCTCTTCCAATTTCGGGTACTGCAAGTTCCAATTTTCGACAAAGAAGCTCACAAAGCTTATATAATTAAAGCTCTAAAAAGTCTTAAGCCGAGGTTTGATAGATCCCCTCCTTCAATAAAACCGATTTTTCTTCATAACTCTTCGATTAAGCACCTCTTAAAGGGTCGCAGCCTTGATATTCTACTGACCTCATAGATATATTTTATCAGCCGTTCGTACATTATGGTGCTGTTGTCATTATCACGTGAGTCACACAATATCTGAGCATCACCTGCAAGCAGTTACCAAAAATTTGCTCACTGGGATTGACAATCAGTGCCATTCTTGATCAGCTGAGAAGTATCATTATGTAGCCGCATCGTTATTCAAGGGGATTAGAATGCGCATTACAGATTCTGTGGGTACAATCTGATGTGTGTTATCTTTGACTCAAACGTACAAATTTTGGCCACTGGAGGACTTACGCATTTTGCTTGACTTAATGCGCCCTGTATAGAGGCATTCCTCGCAACCAGCTTTCCTTAGTTCACATTTCTCTTTTGATATAGCTCAGCGTGGCTGCTTATACGGTCGTTATCAGAATTTTACTTGGGAGTTCGGTTATGAGAAATTTCGGTGCCCGAATTAACGTCCTGACTCTAAAAAACATTCTCCTTTTTCCGTGGATGTCGATTTCTTTGCTGAGGTCTCAGTTGACCAGATCTGCCTGTCCTGTGAGAAGAATACCTTTTATTCCTCCATCATGGTATTCTTCGAAGACGGAAATCGCTGCCTTGGCCAGAAAAGCTCATTGACTCCGTCGCGACTGGTTGAGGTCGGGGCACTTGTAGTAGACAGCACCAGATGTACGGAAAATAACCATCTAGCGTATAGACGATTCGTCGTCGTGCACTTCTAGCAATGCTCTGTACGAAACACGTCGGATGGGGGGTGGTTCTTTCCTCGTCCTCTATATGATATACACTGTCCCACAAACAAAGAAAGTTTTAAGTGCACTAAGCGGTACTCTAACAGGTTCCAAACAAATCAGGATGTGAACAGACATTTTTATAAGCAGACGGACTGTGAAGGCTAAGCGAATCAAGAAAAATATTAAGAGTTCGGGGTAGCTAAGTGTTATTCACTCCCCGTTCTATACCCTCCCTACCTTGATAACACGTGATAAATTTGGCGGTTATCCCCAATTGAATTTATTTACATATTCACTTATTAAATCTATGTAACAGCTGCATTACAATCCAAGCGATGGACCTATGAATCTAAAGTTATTTAAACATCATTGTTTTTCTAATCAAATTCCTCTTTATCTAACAAAATATTAATTTGCACGCCTCCAGTGCGTTCAGCTACTTTAACTGATTGCTTCTCATTAAAGCTACGTCATTACTTCGATATATATATTATATATAGTTTTTCTTAGTGCTATCATTATTTTAGAAAGTGACTAAAAATACAAACATAATGCATTTGCAAAAATCCTATTCGCTGCATCGACACATACATGCTTATCCCCAAATATATCAGTCAGAAAATACAATATAAAGTTTTTTGTTGACTTACGTACAATTCCGTCAAAGCAGGTTCGTTGGGCCCATCGAAGATGCTGTAGTTGATTACTTCGTGTAAAGATATTAAAAATATGATTTTCTGACGGGATAAGCGTGTGTGATTTGCGCGATTGGGATTTACAAAATGACTCTACCAACACTGACGAACTCAAATTTAGATCGCCCAATCAAGATCCTAATACATATATATAAAAATAGTTAATTAATTGAATTTGTCACATCACGTTTCTAAATCTCATTTCCTATTTCTGTGACCTTCCTTCGGAGACTGTTCATGGACAGCTCACTACATCCACTGTATCCCAGATTTCTCCGGATCTTCTCTTAGCGACGCTGAAGCATGGTCGCCTAGAGTGATCACGCCGCCTTCCTTTACTCCTGTCGCATTAACGGGGTAATTTCGTCATGACGCGCATGGCGCGTGCTGATGAGGTTATGAGATCGCAGTCAGCCGACCGGCTCAATAACCTTCCAAAGATTTTGATGATCCTAGATCATCGTGGCCGCAATTGGCGTGCAGTAAGTCCGGGGCGTAGGGGTGCCGCGCGTGGCTCGCTTTTCGCTTTGGAGTCGGCGCAGTCTGTAGGGGTGCCGCGCGTAGCTCGCTTTTCGCTTTGGAGTCGGCGCAGTCTGTAGGGGTGCCGCGCGTGGCTCACTTTTCGCTTTGGAGTCAGCGCAGTGCGTAGGTTGATAGCTTGTTTCTACTCGGCAATACACACGTTCCGGGGTTGAGAATTACGGAGCCGCACGTGGCGTGCAGTTGCAAGGTGCCGCATCAGGTTGTTTTATAAAAAAAAAACTTTTAGGTTGCCTCTTATTGCAGATCCTCTCCATGTCTGCCGACCAGTCTTAGAAAACTCAGTCTTACTGGCCGGCTTTGACGGACACGCCCGTGGTCTTCTTGGCCTACTGCAACAAAAGTTAATGAATTCTACTCAACTGACCTGCTCAATTTACTGGCATTTACCTTCTGCTGGTATAAAGCACACTAGATTATTTGTAGTTGATTCAGTAGCTGCTGCCAGTCACGAATGGTTTTCTCTCTCTAACACTTTGGTTAGAATGAAATGAATGATCTGGCACGCGTTGCCGTCTGCATCGACGCATCGTTGCTAAACTCCGAGTAACGGAATCCTTCCAGGTTCTCATTCTCATTTCTATCTCTACGCGCCTTCGGTATTGCGCGAGCGATTGCTAGCTGATACTCGCGACGTTGACAAACTTCAGCTTAATTTTAACGAAGTTTTTATTCTTTTTTTTTCTTTCTGCCTATTTCGCGTACTAAAGAGAGTGCGTTCGAGACATGCTTGCTCAATACTCTTGCTTTAGTTTCGAGGCATACTCGAATTTGTATGTCTAACATAATTTTGGCAAAATGTTGTCTCCTATTCATTTCTGGCCCCCACACACTCAATCGGTATGGCAAGGTGGACTAATATGTCAGAGCTTCGGCCAAGTCAGTGCAATTGATCCTGACGGAGTTACACGGTAGAAATGCGCAGGCAAGTATTTGGCGCTGCAGTAGCTGAAATCGCCGTTGTTATTGCTGCTACCGTTGCACAAATTATGGAGAGCACGGTGGTGACAGAACTTGGTCGAGCTCTACACCGCAAGCTCCGTGAATATGCGGAGAGCCAGACTGAGCTCTTAAGCTGTCAATGTTCATTAGAGGAGGAGTAAAGACCGTTTCCCTGATCAACAGAGCTTCTTCTGTCATTATACCCTTGCAGAGGGTATTATAATTTTGGTCAAAAGTGTGCAACAGAGACATCTCCGACCCTATAAAGTATATATATTCTTGATCAGGATCACCTCCTCTGTCCGTCTGTCTGTCCGTCTGTCTGTCCGTCTGTCTGTCCGTCTGTCTGTCCGTCTGTCTGTCCGTCTGTCTGTCCGTCTGTCTGTCCGTCTGTATGTCCGTCTGTCTGTCCGTCTGTCTGTCCGTCTGTCTGTCCGTCTGTCTGTCCGTCTGTCTGTCCGTCTGTATGTCTGTCTGTCCGTCTGTCTGTCCGTCTATCTGTCCGTCTGTCTGTTTCTACGCGGTGGTGGTGTTTTTAAAGTTAGGAAGTTGGGATTTTTTATGAGTATTAAGAATGCATCATATGAATAATTTTGGAGAATATAATGTACATAATATTCTGCAAGGGTATATCAACATCGGCTCCGCCCGAAGTTAGCTTTCCTTTCTTGTTTTTTTCTTCATTGCTCACTGAGCTATTTATTATTTATTAACTAGGCATTATTAAAAAAAAATTGTTTAAAATATTTTTTCGTTTTTACACCGAAATTATACATACACATGTACTATTTCTACAAGCAACTCCGGTGATATGAATTAAAACTAAATTCTGATTTCATATTTGTAGGCATGTGTTATATCGGGGGAATCTGGAGCTGGAAAAACAGAGACAACAAAATTTATATTGCAGTATTTATGCACAATCACTTCAAACGTTTCCTCGTGGGTTCAGCAGCAGATTTTAGAGGCCAACACAATTTTGGAAGCTTTTGGTAAGTTGAGTTTATTATTTCTAATATAATTATAGTTTATAAAATTTGACTATGTTCAATTAAGCACAATTACCTGGACTATACAAAGACAGGAAGTACCCTATATTTATTATTCGACAGATTTGGCCACGGATTATAAATTTCAACTTGAAACAAATTTTGAAAAATAGTTTTATAATTTAAAACAAATTAGAACAAAATTATGAATGTCTCAATTATTAGATACATCAAGTATTTCCACCTCAAATGCATAGACGAAAATTGAGAATTGGTTATAGTCGGTAATAATTTAATCAAGATCGTGTTTGTTACGGTCGAGAATCCATAATTCTGCCGGGTGTGGCCTGCGAAGAAGCCTTCGAACCAGTGGTGTAACAAGATGCCTTGCCAGACAGTTTGTATGTGTGAGCATACGTTCCCGGTATCGACTTGAGGATTTACAAATCGTCTCCGAACATAACTCGGTTTTCCACATAATGGTGCTACTTCACCCTGAGCATCATGCGGGAAAAGGCAGGAAAAGGGAAGGCTGTCACACAGCAATCGTGGAGGCTGTCTTCTCTCAGGGTCTCGGAACGAGCAAGACGCGCATCGAGCTTCGAGAACCACGTGTGCTCCTCGAGTTTTTTTTTCCGTCGGTGGAGGATTGCAGGTTAGGCCAACCTGTACGCCTGACCAGACCGCCCTCGGTCTTATGATCGCGTGTGTTCCGACAATTTAACTTAGCCAAGTTTTACGCGGTGGTTCGCGGGTTATTGCAAAGAAGAATAAAGATATACAAAACGGGTTAATTGAGGATAACTTGAATAAATGGTAAAGAATAAATAATCGCACCTCCCGGTCATGTGTTTTCCTTTCTTAGTCAGATGAGAAAATCGAACCTCACCTAACCTCATTCCCAAAGCTGCTTTGGGCCTGAGCGTGGACGTTCACCACAGTGGCCGTATTTCAGCTCCCAGAAAGATATTACCGTAGTATCCCCGGACCTGAGTGTGGACCCCTTCCTGTTCGGTCCAGTAGTTCCCTCGTCTCCTACGTAGTTTTGGGGTTTGCGCGTTTCAGCCGAAACGCGAAATACAAGACTAGGACTCTACACGACCAGCGTCGTTTGCGTTTTGCTCGACACAAATAAGAGCCTTCGGTGAAGACTCCCCCCCTCAAAAGTATCCGTTCTCCTGTGGAGCGGAACTCTCTAGCCGGTGTTTTGGTGATTTACAAATTTCTTGTAAAGGACTCTTGGATCCGACTGAGATCTGTACCCCGGCCGAAAGAGCATCCTTACAGTGGCCAGAACGATGTACACGAATATCTACTGCAAACACCCTGTAATCTAAGAACGATACAATGAGCTTACAGAGTCTCTCAGGCAAAAAAGGCATTAGCGTGTAGAACCATCTTTCGTGCCAAACCCTGTCAACAGCCTGTCAAAAGTCGAAAAAAAGAGCTGAGCAGTATTTGTGATCTTTAAAAACACCCAAAACATGGTTATCTACTTTGTGTACTTGCTCGATAGCACAATTAAGACTACAGAAGCCAAACTGGTGGTTTGCAAGTGCGTCTTTAAAGGCGTTAATAGATAAAAGTCTACCAAGCACGATTCGCTTAAAAGTCTTGCAGAAGATAGACAGCGAACTAATCGGCGCAGCATGGGTCTAATGCACGTTTCCAAGGTGTTGGAAAATGGCCAAGATCCAGGCAAGCATTAAAGAGGAGACAGAGCTTCGGAACGACGGTGCTAGGCAGAGCTTTAGCTACTTTGCCATCATTCGCGTCTATGCCAGGAGTGAGCAAAAATTTTTAGGATATCCACCTTAAATCGGAAACACCTTAAATTATTTGGATATCATATACATCTTCGTTGTTTCTAACTGGTTCCAGTTCAACAAAGTATATATCCCGGTTCGCCAGGGGGATTTAATACATTCCGTGGGTTGTGCCCCAAAGCGTTAGGTTTCACAGTAATTTCGGTTACTTCAGTGGATGCATGAAGTCCCTTGCCGTCCATTACCGTCATCTACAGTAATTTTAGAAGAAGATTTGCCAGTTGTCTTGAGGACAAAACCTGTGCTCACAGATGATAGTAAAGCAGTTAGTTGCCTAAAATCAGTGATTCCCCTCAAAAGAAGAGGTGGATGATGGGGATCGCGTTTCTTGGTTTTAGCTTGAGAACAGGCATTGAGTGGGGACACCGGACGAAAGTTAGCTTCAACAGGCTCATACAAGCCATGACCAAGCTTAGCGGTGGTGATTGATTCATTAATAGGAGTGCAAGTCATTGTATCATTATCGTCATCAACAGCTATTGTTCTTCCCTAAGTAGGTAGAGTCTTCTAGAGCCTATAGAAAACATAACGACGTATTAACCACAAAACAAATTCCGTATCTATCAGTCCTTTAAAAATTACTTGTCCGAATTAAATGTTCTTTAATTCCAGTCCCATGTCATCCATCCGTACTAAAATGGTTGTCTTTGCCTGTTTTGCTACCATCTTGGTAAATTCCTCTAAAAATATAACCCTTAGAAGAAATCAGATAAACTTAACATTTTTAGTTTCTAAAAAAAATAGGACTTTCTTGGTTTTTTTTTTTTTTTTTTGCACGCGGAGTCCCACGGCCCACTTACCCGCCCAACCGACCGAGGGGCGCAGCCGTGTATCGTACGGCACGATTCGCGATAAGATGGACGCGAGATAGGAAAATAAAGGTAAAGGTCCGGGGAAAAAAGTAATAGTTAGATCAATCTTGTGCCAATGAAGCAAGTATCAATCGTTTTAGGAGCGGCAGAGAGTCAAGATTTGATATTACAGGAAAAAGTCTATTATAGTCAGAACATAATACTCTGAAAGGCTCATGCAAGGCATAGTTAGATCTACACTGATTTAAAATTAGGGGAAAATAATTTCTAGTTAATCTACTTGGCACAGAAAAGTTTAGCCGACTTAACAAGTCGGGGCAGTCAATATCACCATGTATAAGGTGATAAATAAAGATAGTACCAAGCATCGTTCTTGGTAAACCGTCGTCGCATGCAGACGTGTATTTATTGTGCTCCGGGAAAAAGTATTCAATAAAATCACAAAAGTGCAGTGACCGATTTAATAAATCTACTATATCGCGAAAAGACGATTTCTGCGATGAAATCGCGAATGTTTATATTGATTGGTCATTTAATTAATATAAAAAAAAAATTCATAAAACTCTAATTAACTTTACCACGAATACAATGAGTCTGAACGACGTTCGCACACAACGTCAACGTGAGCAAGACGAGAGACGGCTCTCAGTACAATGAAATAACGCGTACCTTTCTTTTAAAGCAACCGAAAATAATGCAAGCTCTGATCAAGCGCGGGCAATTACCCCCAACTTGACCGAGTTCTTAAACGTAGCGAGCGAGAGAGCGCGTTCTTGCTCCCCCTCGCTACCATCGACGTCTCTGCAGATAAAGAGCGCTGAAAGTGCTCCAATGCAGGTATGCAATAACCTAAGCTCATCAGCAGTAACTAGCACCGCAATTTCTTTAACAACGTCAACTGTAACTACAACAACAACTGCAACCGTATCGACTGCGCGTTTAATGACATCATCAGCTAGCAGCGCAGCTGCGCTGCCCGAAAAACAGAAAAAAACAATGAATGTGCTAAGCCGGCTGTGCAGACTGGTATGGATCGCTACATCCAAATCAAAAGGAAGCTGAGCCCTCTAAATTCTCAACGCAAAATAACCCGTAACAATGCTACGGGTCTAGTAAAAGCCAACATCCAAGAGACAAAAGTTCAAATGAAGTCTGAAGATAATTACAGAGTATTATCGAAATATCTTACAGAGAATAAAAAGAACTTTTACACGTATCAGTTAAAAAGTAGCAAGTCGTACTTAAGGGCATAGAGTCCGACGTAACGCCTGCAGAGATAACAAAGGCGCTTCAAGAGAAGGGATTTAACGCTGAGACTGTCTTCAACATCCTTAACAGGGATAGAAAGCCGCAGCCTCTCTTTAAGGTTGAGCTCGGACCAGAAAATAAGCCCCTAAAGAAATACGAAGTGCACCCCATTTACAATCTTCAGTTCCTGCTGCACCGCAGAATTACAGTTGAGGAACCGCACAAACGCAATGGCCCGGTACAATGTGCGAACTGCCAAGAATATGGCCATACAAGGTCATACTGTAAACTGCGCCCGGTGTGAGTAGTCTGTGGAGATCTTAATGACTCCGAACACTGAGGAGATCTTCATGACTCCGCACACTGCCCAGCGAGCAAAGATGACTGCAACTCGAAAAAGTGCGGCAACTGCGGTAGAGGTGCAGAAACATCGAGTGAAACATCGATAACATCGATGTTTTCAAAACATCGAAACCATCGATGGTTCGTGACCGCCATCGATGTTTTCACTAACAACTCTGCGCTCGGTGCGAACAAATTGTAAATAAATTAAATTAAATTAATTCTTAATTTTTTTCTAACAACTAAAAAAATTGTTGATAATATTTAGGATTTCTAGTTGGTGGTGTTGGTGGTGTGTCCACCCGAGACGATGCCATTATTGCCACAAGGCAATTTATGGAAAAGGAAAACACTCCTGACACTTGCGACCCCTTAAAGTATTGGGAGGTATGATTTTCAAATAATTATGACAAACATGTTAAATAAGAAATACTTTTTACAGATGACTGATGACAACGAATTAAAATTGGTTGCAAAAAAATATTTCTGTGTACGAGCCTCGTCCTATGAGTCTGAAAGGGTGTTCAGCAAAGCTGTTAATACACTGGAGTCTGTACTCGTCTCTGGAGCTCGAGTTTCAACACCCCAAACTACAAGTACACAAAGCATCCAAAAGAAGACAGATCTACAAATAGAACAGCTCGTCCTCGAAAAGGGACGCTTACGTCGAGAGTGGCAACTCCACAGATCGCTACCTGCAAGGCAACTCTTAAAATATGCCTCACGTCAACTGACAAAAGCTTTACAGCAAGATGAAGCACATTTCCACCGACGC